AGTTAGAATGCAGTATTGCAGGCTGACTCTGCCCACTGCCAGCAGTTCAATCCTGACCGACTGGCTCAAGGTTGATTCAGCCTTCCGTCCTTCCGAGGTGGGCAAAATGAGGACCCAGATTATTTGGGGGGCAAGAGGCTGACTCTGTAAAGCGCTTAGAGAGTGCTGTATAAGCACTGTGAAGCGGTATATAAGTGCTATTGCTTCCTTTCCTTTCCTTCCTTCCCTCCTTTCCTCTCTCCCTCCCGGTGGTTAGAATGCAGTATTGCAGGCTAACTCTGCCCGCTGCCAGCCGTTCGATCCTGATCAACTCAGCCTTCCATCCTCTCGAGGCCAGTAAAACAAGGACCCAGATTGTTGGGGGAGCAAAAGGCTGACTCTGTCAACCGCTTAGAGAGGGCTGTAAAGTGGTATATAAGTCTAAGGGCTATTGCTAGACTGGGATAAAGGAGTAAATAAGGAACCAGAATATCTGGCAGGAGAAATCCTCCAGATGAACTAGCCTGGTTTAAACTCCCCCGTTCTGACCCGTTCCCCACCCGCTCCATCCCCCCATCCCTGGACCGACCCGTCCGCCGCCTTCATCTCACCCACAAATCCACCACTGAGGCCGGTTTTTGCGATGGCTGCATAATTGGGGTACCCGCCCAGGTACAGCTCCTCGTTGAGATCCAGGCCTTGAAACCTGCCCTGGAACGACACGGAAGAAGGAAACCTCGGTCTGAAAGAGCCGGAAGACAGGCACCACCACCCCGCCCATCGTTTCCTGACAACCAAAGGCACAAAACTGGGTCCCCACGAGCAGCTTAGCTGGCGTGAACAAATCCAGCTCCCGCCTGCCTCAGTTTCCCAGACAGAGAGAGGAGACGAAGGATTCCTGCTCTTCGGCAGAATGGAAGCTCCGCAAGGAGTCTTCCTTCGGGAGCCCCAGCCCTTTGACTGCCCCTTCTCCGTTCCCGCTCTTCCGTTCCCGCTCTTCCGTTCCCGTTCTTCCTTCAGCCAGGGCTCACCTGGGAGCTGCCGTTGACGGCGGGGTGGCCGTCCACCACCAGAGACCCCTGAGTCAGGTTGCGATAGAGGCGGACGGTGTGGAACTCGCCCAGGTTGAGGATCGAAGAGTGCCGGATGGTGGCCATGCCGGAACCGGCATCAAACCTGCCGTGGCAAGACGGGGGCAGCTTCAGACGACTATCCTGGCCAGCTGGCCCTCCAATGCCTCTTTCCCGAGGGGTAGCACCCTCCACTCGCCCCCCTCAAAAACCCCCCAAGAAATCATTATCCAGCTCCAGAAATCTTTGGCAAAGGTTACCAAAGGAATGGCAAATCTAGACAGCACACTCAAAAGCAGAGGCATCCCCCTGCCAACAAAAGTGCGCAGAGTTACGGCTACGGTTTTCCCAGTTGCAATGCAGGGCTGTGGAAGTTGGACCACAAGGAAGGCTGAGCGCCAAAGAATGGAGGTGCTTGGACTCTGGGGCCGGAGGTGGAGACTCCCGCGAGTCCCTTGGACGGTAAAGACCATCCAACCGGTTGGTCCTAGAGGAGATCGACCCTGACTGCTCTTGAGAAGGCTGGATCCTGAAGAGGAAACTCAAAGACTTTGGCCACCTCATGAGAAGGAAGGAGAAGAGCCCAATGCTGGGAACGATGGAGGGAAGAAGAAGAAG